TGGCAGTCAACGTCTCTCAGAGTTGTGCGTGCTGTGAAGACGTTGGGAGCTGCACTTTGGCCCATTGATCTTAGTTCCGCTTAGTGGGAATGACCTACAAGGGCATTTAATCTGTCTCGTGGCATTTAAGTGATGGCGTCAGCTCCCCATATGTTGGGGGGTTCAGTGTCCCTCAGAGTATTTTGAAGGTCTGGATCATGTTACCTTGTATCCGCACTTTGTAGAGCCAGGAGCCAAACAAAAGCAATGCTTGTGGCCTGGTGTTAACTTGGCATCACGCTAAGAATTAACAGGTTAGTTTTACAAGCAGCTTCTTTTAAGAATTTAAATCTGCAAGCAGGGCTGCCCTTTCACAGAGGCAGAGAGTGGCAAAAACCAAAGCAGTTTGTGAAATGCTCTTTCTCTGAACCCACCCCATACCTTGGAAAAATGGGATCTGGGTCAGAACTTTTCCTCATGTGGGGTGAGATGTTGGGGCCAGGAAGTTTTCCAAGCCCACCCCCCGGCTTTGCCTCTCTCTCTTGGGTTTTATTGTGGCCTGTTAGTACATTAGGAAGGCGATGTGTGTAGTTGTCCGCATGTTGATGCAACTTAATCCTATTAAAATGGCCTTTTATGGTTTTGGATGTGAGCATTTAAACAACAAGAGCACCCAAGTCAGCACTGTTTGGGAACCGTGGCCTAGAGTTGCGCAAGTCAGGGATCAGAGGGGTAGCCGTGTTAGTCTGAATCTGCAAAAGCGGCGAGGAGTCCTGTGGCACCTTATAGACCGACACTTCAGTTAGTCTATAAGGTGCCACAGGACTCCTCGCTGTAAGTCAGGGAGAGACCGGTGGGTTTTTAAGGCTCTGTTCAATATGTAGAACTGATTGTTTAGGTCTAGTATCTTATTGCTTGTGGCTTTGCCGTCTTCAATCCCTCGGTCTCTCCATGCAGTGCATAGACTGAGTGCCTCTTGTGGTCAACACATCAGAGGCGCATCATGCAAGCAGCTGATCTGAGGATTCAGAATTCCTCTTCCTCAGAACCTGACCCCGCAACCCGCGCCCACTTGAGCAACCCTTAATTGTGCAAGTTAAACGAATTGGATTTCTTGCATGAATAAGAATTAGTTGCAAGTAGAGGTTGCAGCTTGGGCCCTTAGAACTTAATTGGTTCTGGTAGGGGTTCCCAACGCATTGAATTGCAACTTGCTGGACATGAAGTGCCCGCAATCTCAGTGGGAGGGAGAGGATGGTTGTTTAATAGGTTAGGTGGCGGGACAGGAGGTAAGATGTACTTCAGCTATGAAAGAAATATATTGCTCAAAGAAAAAGCTGAATGTGCCGGACTTTAGGGCAGCACAGGATCCTACCTTTCAAGAGACCTTCATGGTCCATGTGGATAGACAAGGTGAAAAGGAGGAGAAAGAATGGGAATAAAACAGAGAAGCAGAAAGAGCTGGATCAGAGAGAGATACGATGAGGTAGGCATTTAAAGAGGCAGGTACTAAACCACTGCGTTCTTCATGGGGCTGAGTGCCTCATTATACCAAATGGAATTGGTGTTACGTTCCTCCCTGGCTGAACCTCACCGGCTCCCCCCCCCCACCGCAGAAGTTAATATACAACAAAAGAAAGTATTGGGTGATCAGACCACAGGCTATTCACCAGTGTGCCTGTCCCTAGGAGCCAACTGGAAGACCTGCTATGGGGCAGTGGGCAGCATCTAGAATAAACTGGCTCAGTCTTAGCTGAGTGGATCTCCCAATTTTTTCCCCCTTCTTTTCTTTGGTTTTTCAGCTGAATGTCGTGCTGGTGAAAGGTGGCACTGACAGCCCTGGAGACTGACGGTGACCCCTATTGGTCCCGGGACCACTTGCTCCTCTCACAAAGATAAGAAAATAGTTCTGTCTCCATGGCCCATTCAGTTCTTGGTCTCTGCTATAGACTGGCTACAGCAGATGTGCCGGCGCTATTTGCCAGGTAGACACCTTGTC